GGAGCCCTGGCCGGGAGAAGGTGGCTGAGAGTGGCAGCAGTTTTTTCGTTGGTTTCTCAATGAGCCATAACTCTTTCAGATTCACTGCTCACACATGGCCAGCATGCAGGTCTGGCAGTTTCTATTCATGATGCAGGCTGGGAAGGTAGAGTCTGGAAAACTCATAAAAGCAGACTGAGTGGTAAAGGAAAATCAATCTTCTCCTGCTTTGGACCAAGTTGACGAGAATCATTCTCCCTGATTCTCCATAAATTGGAGCAAGGCTTAGGACACTAATCCTACTGTAATGCCATTTGAAGACAAACACTGACATTTGTGACATTTAAATAACAGTTCAGGTCTGCTATTAAACCAGGGCCTCCAACTGTTTAACCTTTGCCCTTGTGTACTATTACCCTTGGCCCAGTGCATGCAAATGTACTTATTAATGCATTTCAGCTTTCTGATGCCACATGCTTATTTAGTTTTGCTGGATACCTTGCTTCATGGGAACTGCAGTGCACCACGCATGAAATTTGTTTTAAAACTTTTAAATGTGACACATTCCAAGCCTCTCTCAGAGATTATGTTTATAAAGCTAAAGTTAAATAAAAAGTTGAGGCAAGTATCCAAAATCTTTCCATGGGTGGAGGAGTGTGTGTTTCCTGAACTAAAATTATTTAGAGAAATCCAAAGCCATTCATTCATTCAACAAAAGTTTGTAAGGGCTTTTTATGTACCACATACTATACTACATCCGAAATAAGGAAACTATACTCCCTGCCCTTAAAATACTGTAGCTATGTGATTTTATGGCCCTGCTAACATCGACACGCACGTTAATTTATATGTGTCTTCCTTTAGTCTTTGCCTAATGGCACATACACAACCTTTACTGGTTTAAAAACGCAGATTCTCGTTTTAGCTAAAGTTATATTAACTAATAAATTAGAGGCTGGAGGAGATCTTTTCCATGCAGATATAATTTAAAAAATGTTAGTGTTGCTATTAAAGTCAATAATAACCTTTTTTCATCTCTTGGATATTTTTCTAAACAGAGGAAAACACTTTCTGTTATGTTCTTAATCATCACACACCATTTCTTCAGCATTGATGAATCTGCTTCATGTCTGACAGAGAATTAAGTTGCATTATTTTACTATGAAGGTCACTTCATGATCTGAGATTCTAGTTGGGCTTATGATAAGTAAAGTACAGGCTGAACTGGCACGGATAGACCTAAGTTTGATGACTGGCTCCCTCAGTTTCTAGAAGTGCAAAATTCAGCAAGTTGCTTAACTTCTGTAAACTTCAGTTCCCTCATTCATAAGATGGGTTAATAGGATGTCCCTTGCTGAATTGCTAGGAGGATGATAGAAAATAATTCTGGGAAGATTGCTAACATACAGCCTGGTGCCCAGTTATTACTGTTCTGGTCCCTATGCTTTAGAGAGCCCCCTGTCCCCCCTTCCCCTCAACTCCAGCCCTCCCCCAGCTCTGCCCCTTCTCTCAGCAGAAGCTTTTCTTTTCTAAGTCAGTGATTCTAAGTTTGCAGCAATCCTTCCACCATCTAGGAGGCATCTGGCAATGTCACGAGACTGTTTTGGTTTTTATAATTTTTTTTTTTTGAGACAGAGTCTCACTCTGTCACCCAGGCTGGAATGCAGTGGTGCGAGCTTGGCTCACTGCAACCTCTGCCCCCTAGGTTCAAACAATTCGCCTGGCTCAGCCCCCCGAGTACCTGGGACTACAGGTGTGTACCACCATGCCTGGCTATTGTTTTTTTTTTTTTTTTGTATTTTTAGCAGAGATGAGGTTTTGCTATGTTGGCCAGCCTAGTCTTGAGCTCCTGGCCTCAAGTGATCAGCCTGCCTTAGCCTCCCAAAGTGCTGGAATCACAGGCATGAGCCACAGTGCCTGGCTTTGGTTTTTATAATTTTGGATGGTGCTATAGCATCTAGTAGGCAGAGGCCAGGGATGTTGCTAAGTATTCTATAATGCACAGGAAAAGTATTTTTCCCCTCAATAGGAAAGACTTATTCAGGGCAGAGAGTAAGTCCAGAGATTGAAAAACCTTGCTCTAAATCATGCTCTGGGTCCCAGCAACTCTGAAATTCTCCCCCAGTTAGTCCATTTCCAGGGTCTGTGCCTCTCCTCACCAGGGCTGATAGGGTGGCTATTTGAGAGGGCCGTGGACAATGGCTCTTGGTCCAGCCTTTTCGTGCCACTACATTCCAGTGTGGAGCTCCGAGGAGTCTGAGAATTCTAAATTGGAATCTGGCCTTCCAGGTTGTTATGAAGCTGTGCTTGTCAAGGTCAGAGGATAAAACATTTTAGTTAACATGTTAGTAAGCTAGATTTAAAACTTAATTTTAAATTTTAATTTATTTTTTTGAGACTGATTCTCACTCTGTTGCCCAGGCTGGAGTTGGTGATATTATCTTGGCTTATTACAACCATCGCCTCCCAGGTTCAAGTGATTCTCCTGCCTCAGCCTCCCAAATGCCTGAGACTACAGGCACCCACCACCACGCCTGGCTAATTTTTGTATTTTTAGTAGAGATGGGGTTTCACTATGTTGGCCAGGCTGGTCTCGAACTCCCGACGTCAGGTGATCCACCTGCCTCACCCTCCTGAAGTGTTGAGATTATAGGCGTGAGCCACGGCGCCCAGCCCAGAACTTTAAATATTTAGATATCGGGTATGTGGGTCTTTGTTTGCATTCTTGCTCTGGACCGCTCCCCCCCACCAGCCGAAGTGTTAGCCATGGGCCTGCCAGTTAGATTTTTAAAACTCTGCATCCTTCCATCTTCATGGAGGGTGTCACTTGATTTCCATCTTTCAGGCTCAGTCCTAAGAGCTCACCTTTATTTGAGGCAGATGATGCATAGGTGGCTCTAATGCTACATGCCCACATGCTGAGGCTTACCACTGGTTTGTTTTGGTTGCTGATTTGTTCCAGTTTCTGATCTTTTTTGGAGCTGAAACATTTAGGGTGATGACCTTCACAATGATTTTTTTTTTTTTTTTTTAAAGGACTCTGCCTTCAGCTCAGGCTTGGACTTCTGGCAGACATGTTAGTATCATCTGATCCAGGCAGGTTCCTTCAGAATCTCTTCCAGGGAATTTGGAATTGATGTGCAGAATTGGTGTCTGTGAGTGGCTATAGCTCAGTGCTGTAACCGTGAGAGTTGCTGTTGGACAGCCGTCTTTTAACAGAGGAAATGGTGGTGTAGAAAGAACGGGAGAGAGAGCTGGGTCCAGTGGCTCACGCTTCTAATTTCAGCACTTTGGGAGGCTGAAGTGGGAGGATTGCTTGAGCCCATGAATTTGAGATCAGCCTGGGCAACATGGTGAGACCCTGTCTCTGCGCAAAAAA